CCGTTTTCTCTCGTCCACCCGTCCGCGCCGATCCACGGCATCGGGCCTCTCGCTCGCTCTCCTACCGGACGATCTTCGGCTCGCTTCCTTTACGGTTAGTGCTCGAGGGTAATAAAGATGGTTCTGCTTATGTACAACCGGCAACCGGAGGCGGAGCCAGGCTGCCCTCTGTGGGCAGGACTAACGCAAATGACTCTTCCATGCAAGATGGCGTAGGCATACAAACCGCCGGTGGTGTGGTGCCCGCGAGGTGCTTTTATATTTAGCATGCGACGTGCGGAGAGACCGAGCCACCGCGGACGAATGCACCGCGCGCAAAGCAGTCGACCGTCTGGCGTCAGCGCCGATCGCCAGATCGCCTGGCCACGCTCGACCGTCTTCGCCATGTCTTCGCGATCTGACGGCCGTCCGAAATCGTCGCGTCCCTCTTCCGCTTCTACCGGTCGCAAATTTCGACGAGTGACAGCTTGTGAGACGCTTGGTTTACGGTGCACGTGCGGCCCCTTTTCGGTCTGAGAGATGCGTCTCGGGACGGCGGGCGGGAGGGAGAGGGGGAGGATGGAGGGAAAGAGAGATGCTCCGGTGCTCCGCGGACAACGAGCATCTCCCCACGATTGTGTGGCAGTTACATGACACAGCAGTGAAGTAATATTCGTGTCATTTCTGGTTTTGATCATGCATTCTTTTTATTCCTTTTCTCTCTAGGGTGATATTTGCAGATTTTCATCGTTGTGCGTTTCCCTCTAAATCGGAAATTCACAATCCACATCGTGCGTCTGATGATTTGATCGAATTAGTACGAACTGACGTATTACAATGTAATAATTACGTCTGGTAATGGTGCTGTAATGAAGGGAATGCAATTATACCGGTCGCCGGTTGTGAATGTCACCACGCGTCGGAGATCGTATGCAAAGTGCTTGGCATACATAAATGGTTCGCATCTCATTATCCTTCCGTCATTTTCGAGAGGCAAACCGAAGATAAATATCGAAATTATAAGATTCGGCCGATTTTAGCAACTTGATAGTAATATGTTGTTTGTCTGAATTATGGATAACAGCTGTAGACTCCATTTCTTTCCCTTTCCCACGTTCCCCTAGAATTGACGTTACGAGCCAAATATTCTCCGAATGATGTGCAAATCATCCAAAAATTTTGTACGATAGATTTATGAGATTCATCTGCATAGCTCTCCGATAAACAAATGTAGATGGGGCGTAAGATTTGTGCGAGACTCGTTATGCATTTTGCCAAATAACGCAATTCCCGGTGAAATTTATTACGCCAACGGGATTGTAGTTATTTCTCATTCGCCGACATGGATCGCCTTGGCAAGACTATTTTCGGTCTAATAAATATTTTT